AATTACATTTCAAAAATAGCTTTATTAAAAGGGGTACAGAGCTGTTTCTCAACAACTCATAACTGAAGCTTCTTCTGAATTAATGTTATAAACACAATTTTTAGATGAGCACAACCTGAACGTAGGAAATGAATTTACCAGATTTGTAGCTGCAGGTTGTAATAAACAAAACCACTCTTAATGGTGAATGATAAAACCATATGGCACTACTAGACATTGTCAAAATCCCAGGCCGAATGAAAAGGGAAGCGACGTGCTAAGAGCCACAGGCTGGGCGGTAAGGCTGTAGGCCGAGAAGTCTGGGCAACCAGACCGCAGGCTGGGGCTGGAGGAAGAAGGTGGAGCGGGGCAGGCGTGCGTCCACCTGGGCTCTGACCCTGTCCTCTGAGCCCTGGGGCTGCGTTTCCAAGAACGGCTGGGGCGGTGAGGAGGGACTGAACGAGATTCCGACTGGAGGCGGGAACACTTCGCAGTCTGGACTTCGACAGTCTCAGACACGGTCAGACGGCAGGCCTGAGCCCCCTCCGGACCCTCCCTCGCAGCCCCACCAGCTACTGCAGAGACCATTTCAGTGCAACAGGGAGGGACTCAGAGGACACGGACGTCTTTTGGCTGAGCACAACCTCCAACCTGAGGGTCTGAAGACCCCTGCGAAACAAGCCTCATTCATGAACGTGCCTGAGAGATGCCAATTTTTAAAAAAGATTTTATTTATTTATTTGAGAGAAAGACAAAGAACACAGCAAGGGGAGGGGCAGAGGCAGAGGGGGAAGCAGGCTTCCCGCTGAGCAGGGAGCCCGATGCGGGGCTCGATCCCAGGACCCTGGGATCATGACCTGAGCCGAAGGCAGAAGCTTCACCGACTGGGCCACCCAGGTGCCCTAGAAATGCCACTTTGTAACATATGCATAGCTTCTCTAAGTGTGAAAATCTGTCATTTTTAATTGAATGTCCTTTTTTGACAAGTCAAGATACGGTTCTCCTTCAATTAAAATAAATTTCTTTTCTTCTAAGCTGAGGAACGATTTTAATTTTACCGCTGGCCTCATTTCTGGAGCACCTCAGGCTTCCAGCAGCGGCGCCGGCTCCCTGGCGCTCCGCCTCGGGCCGCTCACAGGGTTTGGTGGAGGAGCGCGCCCGCCTCCCCGGGCCCTACCGCATCGCCACTGCCCGGGCCGCAGCCAGGCTGTCTGGGGGGGCACCTTCCCTAGAGACCTGAGGAAGGCACACTCGTGGGCAGGGGGTGTGGTTGCGGGATTCCTCACAGCAAGGAAAATCGGTGTCCCGCCAACTGAGAGCGGAAATCTGTCTCCCCCTGAAAGGTTACATCTAGGGCTCTCGGTGCAGCTCTCTCATGAGCGAGGTCACCGAATTCTCCTCACCCGGGGGCAACAACACACGTGTCCTGGGCTTCTCATGCTTCACCACAGGGAAGCCTCTGCAGACGGCACATTCGGCTGTGTCCGCGGGCGGTCCCCTGCTTGACCGTGTGCCTCCTGAGCAACAGGCCCCGGATGCTGCCGAACCCGCCACGGGCCTTTTGCCTTCTCTGCCCCCTTTGCCCGCCGCCCCCTAATCTGCAGCTGCTCTGCCAGTTTTCAGGGGCTCCCAAGCCATCCAGACAGCTGACGCGCTTCTGTTGCGAACCGAGCCTGGGAGCCTCCGACCCGCAGAGCTCAGTGTCGCACGTGGCGTGGGGGCGGGGGCGGACTTACAGGAACCGAGTCCTGGGACGCCCTAGCTGCTTGGAACCCGAGTACAAGCAGCTTTAGAAGCCAAACCTCTTATTATTCGTAGTAAGTCAGGTGTAATGCGTAAGCCGCACCTAATACCACAACTTTGTTTGCTGCAGCGGGCCCAGCACTGTGCCCTTGATTTCAGAGCTAGTGTCTCAGTTCCCCGCCTGCCCCGAGACCGCCGGGCACCAAGCTCCCCGAGGAACAGCACAGACGGCAGGACCCATCCCCAAGCGCAGGCGGAGCGCTCCGGCGGGTGCGCGGCGAGTGACCTCTCCTCACAGCGCCAGGCCTGGGGGGCAGAGGACGCGCCCCTCAAGTCTCCTGCACACTGAGTAGAAGCTCCAGAAGGACAGAGTAAAGAAGAAAGGGAAAGGAGGAACTTCTATAAATTAGAGTTCTAGTCCTGTTATTACGTAGCCCCCCCCCCCTTTTTTTTTGATAAAAAGAAAAGCAAAAAACAGTTACTGGGAGCAAAACTCCTGTGTCAGGAAAGCGATCCTTAGGAAAACAGAGAGCCGGGAGCCAGGTCTCTAACCCTAGGTCTGGTTCTGACCTGCTGTGGGACCTTAACCAAGCGAAAACAGCTTCTTTGGGCCTCAGTTTCCTCACCTGGAAAACACAGGGACTGAATGAACTGAAGATCCTTACGGAAGGCCCGAAGGTGAGCACCACACATGCCCAAAGATGGGAGTCTGCAAAGCCGACTTTAACTTCAGGTTTGAAATCTGAGCCATGGCGCACCTGGGTGGCTCAGTGGGTTAAGCCGCTGCCTTCGGCTCAGGTCATGATCCCGGGGTCCTGGGATCGAGCTCCGGGTCGGGCTCTCTGCTCAGCAGGAAGCCTGCTTCCCCCTCTCTCTGCCTGCCTCTCTGCCTACTTGTGATCTCTGTCAAATAAATAAAATCTTTATAAAAAAAAAAAATCTGAGCCATATGATCGCAATCATCCTTAATCCAGAGCCTGGGCCCCACAGGAGCGTGAGCGTCCTCCCCAGGCCTCAGCTGCTGCCACTGTCCCCAGGGCTGCCCTGGACGTCCCAGGGAAGCTGTGCAGTGCGCTCTGCAGACAGATGCTCTAGTGCCAGCCATCAAGGCATCAGTGTGGTTTACACGCACCAGAGGAACTCATCTTCAAAGAAACTATGCTACAGACATTTCTGAGCAACAGCAAACAGTCCTCTGGTAGCGAAGAGAACAGGCCTTCGTGTATCAGCTTCACAAGTCTGGCATTTTGAGCGCAGGCCTCTCCAACCTGGGCCTCCCTCTCCAAAACCAACCTTCAAGGTATCCTGGAAATATAAATCAGGCGAGGCTGCCTCCCTAGAAGTCAGGCTCGCTCAGAGCCGTGGGCTGTGTTACTGGAAAGACGCTCTCCAGACCGAAGGAGAGCTCTGCCAGAACCACACCGGCACACGGGCTTGCCGCTCCGCTCCAGAGCTCTCGAGGATTTGCAGCCTCCAGAGGCGCGGGTGTGCCGGCCCATTCTACAGCCCGCACAGACTGAGGTGTCGGGACACGCACACCCCGCCTGAAGTTGAGAACCACGTCTTAACTGTAGTCTGTTGCCAGGAGCCAAGAGACCATGGCAGATGCTAGCAGAGGAAGAACCGAGCTGAACAGACAAGTGGTAAACGAAGGAAAAGGATGTGATACACACAGAAAGCTCAATTTATTTACACTAATCAAGAATGCAGGCTCTCAGCTGGAACATCTCACTTAAAACGCCAGAAGGTTCAGTACCCATTCACAAGCTTTCCAGAATGCACGCAGTTGCCATGGTAACCCTGACAGCCTATTTCTTGGCACTGAATGTATAAATTACCACCCATAATGCATTTAATACAGTTTGGGGGTGACCAATTCATGGACAAACAAATAAACCTGAGTTCTGACTCTCAGCCTCCCTCTTAGATAAACAAAGAGGAGCAGCAGGGGGTAGCGTCCGACTCACCCCGGGATAAGCACAGGGCTCTGCACATCTGAAAGCGCTCCTCTGAAGGCAAATAAGAACGAAGGAAACCACATTTCCTCCTCCACGGCCATATGGTTGATTTTGTGAAACAAAATGTTCCGTGCCAGATTAATGACACCGTCATTGCTCAAGTTAAAGAAACAAGTACATGCTATGCACGTCTACGCCTCTGGAACTCAAGTCCATTCAGTGAGTCAAAGAACAAGCGGATCTCTTTAAAGAACATCTTCGATAATTTATGTAGATGGCAGTCGTCAGCTCTAAACAAGAAGACTGGTCAAACGTTCAGACTGCCCTTTAATAAGGAATCCGAGTTTTGTTTCTTTGGTTCGGAAGACAGCGACTCAATCGTAAGTCTTCGCCCTCACCAGGGATGCTCACCAACAATCAGAATACATGTAATGCGTGATTTCTGGAGTCTTACCTTCTCATCATCCACCATCTGAACACGGAGAAGAACAGAGAGCTACGGCGCCCAGACGGCCCGGGCATGTCGGCTCTCACGGCCGGGCAAGCCCACTGCGCCAGCAACTCCCCGGAGCTGCGGCAGGACATGCCTGCGCGAGCCTCGGCGCCTGCAGAAATCACTCCCGCTCTTGCCCCGAATCAGCTAAGCCCCGGGGAGTGGAGCCTGCGCCACGTCCGCCTCCAGACTGCAGGCCACAGCGAGCGCCTGTGAAAGGGAGCGAAAGACCTCCCCGCCAGCGGTTTCCAAGTTAACGCGACTCCGTGACCGCTGCATTGCAGTCTTTCCCAAGCGACAAGCCTCCGAAGCAGGAGGCTGGAGAGAGACGCCCCTGGCACAGGAAGCTGCCTTTTGAATCAGAGACTTTATAAGGATCTTTTAAAAACTGTGGCAAATGCCTCGGTGGGGGGCGGCATTTCTAGATTTCCAGCCTGTGTCCTAAAGGCTGACTGGCCTGCGGTTCTGACCGTCCGCGGCGCCGGGTGGGCCCGCGAAAGCAGGAACGTGGAGGACGACGCCCGCCCTCAGCGCGAGCGCGGCCGGCGACAAGCCCGCACATCGGACGCCTCACACCAGCTTCAGAGCCCTGCGGAGAAGCCGCGGGGAATGAACCCGGACTTCTATTCTGGAAAACGCGGGCGCGGGAAGAACTCCGAGTTCCTCTGTGGGCAGCGATCACCTCGAACGCCTCGTACCACCTTCGCTGCACAGTAGAACCATTACGTGATCCGAGCCCTTGAAATACTGAACCATTGACGAAACAACCAAATTCAGAAAAAGACTTAAAATAGCAGCATGATTACTAAGTGACCTTTCCTTCTCATTCATCCAGCCCGCGGGCTCAGCGCGCACCGCCACCACACGCCGGCAGCAGGCGCCACGGGCAAGGCGAGCTCCCGGCCCCGGGGCTTACACGCGCTCCAGCCGCTCCAGCCCGCACGGCCACCGGCGAGCCAGTCACTCCGAGCACGAGGACTGGCGTGACGGAGGGGCCCAGCGTGCAAGGGGGCAGACATGGAGCCGTTCTGGGGATCGGGGACAAGCTCCACGCGGAAGGAGTATTTCCCAGGAGCCGGCGGACGGGCACTTTGCTGGAAAAAGGGAGAGAAGAGGGGAGAGCACCCTCCAAGGGCGCACACGGCATCACCACGCGCTAGCGCGTCCGCAGCGAGGCCGGGCTCTGGAGCCCGTCCGACTCCCCAGCAGCCCCGGGCAGGCACGGCCACCGGCACGACTGACAGACACCTGAGTGTCTCGAACCTGAGGCGAAAGCATGTCCCAGGCGCGTGGTGGCCGAGTGGAGGTCCCGGTCTGCAGCCTGCAGGCGAGCGCGGCACCGCGCCCTCCACACAGCGCCCGGCAGCGGAGGGCCGCCCGCGGAGGTGCGGGGCTGCCTCCTGCGGGGAGCCACGAGGAACCTCGCGGGCTGTGTTCCGCTCCGCCCAGAGTGGAGGGCCCAGCCGGACACCGCGCAGCGCTCGCTGAAGGACTGCGTAGGCGCGGAGGAACACACGGAGTAAGGGACCTGCTGGTCACCTCTCGCCCTAGTAACAGACATGAGCTGCCGTACTCCGGCCAACACACGGCCTCCTCTGGTGGTGACAGTCCTCCGCTTCGCCTTCCCCCCTTTACCTGACCTCGGCTTCACACCTCTTCTCCCCCAGGTAGTCTTCCCGAACCCCTTCCCGCCCCGGGCAGCAAGGACCCTAGCCTGGGCTCCCGTCCTCCCTTGCGGTCAGCACACCGCACGGAGGGGTGCCCCGAAGGCGTCACTCTTGTGGCTGCCGCAGTCTCAGGCCCCGCCAGAGTCCGACGTCACCACCCCATGGGCAGGACTCAGTCCCTCTGTGAGGCCACCACCAGCGCCGTGTCCATCCGGCCGCTGCGGAGCCTGGGGCACGGGGGAGAGGCAGGATCCAAACCCAGGACCCCGGCTCCCAGCCCACGCCTACCTGCCCGGGAGGCCACTTTTCCGGGCACCCAGCCAAAGCTCACTAACACGGCCTTTACTCGCGGGAGTGGGAGATCAGATTTATGGAAATGCTGCCCCCTTCCTTTCCTGATCTCTCCCCAAAAAAGGTGTGATGTGAATCAATGACTATTTCCAGCCAAAGCAGGCGCGCCTCCTATGTCAGCTCCTGCCTGGCGGGGTAATGTCACAGCATGAGGGAGAGCATCAGAGGGGAAGGCAGGAGGCCGTGTGTGAGGAAGTTTCTTTTCGCCATCACTGTGCTTTGTAGAGACTGACTAGTGATTTAACAGCCCTCGGGAACTTCTACCACATGCCTCTGGGGATATTCAGGAGCCAGTCTGGGCACGCCCCGACAGAAGACGGTCTGGAGAACCGTGCCTTTCAAATCAGGAGTCGAGGCTGGTCCTCAGTGGCGGGCGCACCCCCACCAGCCCGACAGCTGCTGTGCTGTGACAGGGCTGGTCCCCTACCGACCTGTCAGTCCAGGGACCCCGTGCCTGGCAAGCAGGCATCGTGGGTTCTGGCCTGAGTGGGCTGTCCCAGGAAGGCGTGGAGGAACCAGCAGGGTTCTTACACCAGGACTCTGGAGTCTCCTGGAACAGACAATGCCTGGGGGCAGGGGGGAGGGAGCCAACGCTGGCCCAGGGCTGAGACCTTGCCCACCCCCCAGCAATGAGAACTACTTTTGGGGCAGTGCGCGCTGGGCAGCAAGGCCCACTCTAGGGCCAGCACTTGCGGTCAGAGGAAGGAGGTGATGAAAGGAGCATGGACAGGACCATTCAAACCGCCGTCCAGGCCAGTCGTCTGAAAGCTCAGGGCAGCAAGCTGGTCAGGGCGTGGAAAGCAGGTGCAGGGACTACAAGACCACAGACCCCACCTGCCTGTAGCGTGGCCTCCTCTTATCTCCACTTGATGGAAGAGGAGGTGGTGAGGCACAGACGGGAGAAATCTTTGTAAGTGCACCACTACGTGTTAAAATAGTGCTGCTTGGCTGTTAGCTGTTTGGTTGCTTCGGACTTGGCACAACCCTCCCGGCCCAGGCATGACCCGGTCTCCCCACATCCTGCCTCCTCTCGGCTCATGGCATGGGGCCGAGTGAAAAGGGCACTCTGTCTCCCACGCCAACTGCTCCCAGCAACTGCTGACTCCTGCTGGATCTAGGAGTCCTGGTCCACAGGACTTTGTGGGGTGGATTTACTTTCAAATTGATATGATACATGTGAAGGTTTCCTAAAGTACAAGCTTCTCAAAATGTAAGGCACAACTGTTACAAAATATAGCCAGTATCTTCAATGCACTCAATAATTTTCCAAGCTTAACTCAGTTTAAATACATGACAAGATGCCAAAAGGGTTGTCACCACTAACGGAATGACCATGGCAGAACCTGCTCCTGTTTTAAAGAGCAGTAATGAAATTCATAATCTAACCCAGGCCATCAACTATTATCGGTCATGTACATTTACCTGAATTTGATACAAATTATGGAAACATTCCTACAGGTCTCGCTTGCACACCAAACAACAGGCTCTAGAGTATGGCTACTACCTTAAGTTGTCTATTACTTCAAAAGCAGGCAACCCACTAACCAGAATTACCATGGAAAAAAAGAAGAAAAGAAAAAGAAAGGGATGAGTGGCATACAGCCTGAAGGGAAAACACACAAATCATTCATTGTCCCTCCCTGTGTTGGTGGGGGTCAAAGAACAAAGGGTGTCCCCGAGCAGAAGCAGAGAGAACACAAGGAAAATATAAAATGCAGACAGATTTCGTTGGCTTGGATAAAGAACAGACTAACCTATCTGCTCAGATCTAAAAGGACGGTCATCTGCTAAGACCCTGTGGTGACCATCAGCTATGATCTCGTCTCAGGAAAGAAGGGTACTGTAATTCTGGCTGTTTCTCCCGGCAACATGGGGCCCAGGGGCACCACGCCTGAAACAGGAGTCACCAGGTCACCAACAAAGGTCTTAAGAAGCCCAGCCCCTAGTAGCCAAGTCTCTTTACAAACACAAATGAGAACCCGAACAGCAGATCAAAGAAGCAAAGCTGATGTAAACTCCGAGGTCTACACCCAAGAGAAACGGAAACGCAGGCGCTCACAAGAACCAGCACTCCAAGCTCCAAGCAGCATTATTCCTAAGAGCCCAAAAGAGGAGGTTGGTGGGTAGACAGGAAGTGGCACATCCAGGGGCGCCTGGGTGGCTCGGTCAGTCGGGTCAGCATCTGCCTTCGGCTCAGCCGCGGGGGTGGAGCCCCTCGGCAGGCCCCCTGCTCCCCAGGGGAGTCTGCTCCTCCCTCTCCCTCTGCCTGCCTCTCTCTTGTTATTTCTGTCACATAAATAAATAAAAATAAATTGTTTTTAAAAAGTACATGCATACGATGAACTTATTCAGCAACAAAAGGGAAGGCGTTAGTGATCCGTGCTCACACATGGACAAATCTTAAGAACACGGTGCTCAGTGAAAGAACCCGACCCAAACACCACATACTATATGACTCCATTTACAGGAAATGTCCAAAACAGGCAGTGACTGCACAAAACTGTGACTATACTAAAAACCACTGAATTAGATGCTCACAATAGGTGAATCATATATTATACGACAACTCATACACCTACTTTTTTTAAAAGCTGATATAACCGTACCAAAGGCCAGACATCAGATAGTTAACATCCCTTAATGAGACATAGCTCACCATCTCAATTAAAGAAATAAACAAAAGGAAAATGTTGCTACAAGTCTTCATTATGCTCCTAAAAACACATTGTTTTGGGGATGGCCCTTCCAAATAATTTCAAATAAGCTTCTTGCTGTTCAAAACAACTATTTTTTTTTTAAGATTTTATTTATTTATCAGACAGAGATCACAAGTAGGCAGAGAGGAAGGCAGAGAGAGCAAGAGGAGGAAGCAGGCTCCCCGTGGAGCAGAGAGCCCGACATGGGGCTCAATCCCAGGACCCTGGGATCATGACCCGAGCTGAAGGCAGAGGCTTTAACCCACTGAGCCACCCAGGCACCCCCAAAACAACTATTTTGAGTAACTTTTCTCCCCCAAATCTCAGCGTTCAACAATTATTCAAGAAAAAAATTCGATTTTAACTTTAATGCAAAATATAAATTACACATATATAAATACATGGCACTTTTAAACATGAGCAGGGACACTAGGGAAATTATCAACCCCTCCATCACCACCAAAAAGTACTCAATTTCTGAGTTCCCCCTACCATGAAATAAGTAAGAGCACTTGGGTTTTTAAGACCAGGAAATATTTACAAGACTTGAAGTAATACAGTCAAAGAAAACACATTAACAACATAAAACTCACAAAAACGAAAGTAAGCCTTTGTATAAAATAAACAACTCACTGATTTATAGAAAGACTACATCCTCAGACCTAACAAAAGAGCTCCCAGCTCGTTCTCCTTGCTGTGTGTTCACCTCGGTTCTCGACAATCCAACCATAGGAAAGAAACGTGGTACCTCAGCATGACATTGTCACTGGCTAACACTGTCATTAAAATAATGTGTTTCTATTTTCCGCAGGAAGAGAATCGTGTCTACTCACCACTTACAATGAGTCAACCAGTGTGTAAAATATTTTACATAATGGGAAAATTTATCATGCCCCCAAAGTTCAGTGTGTTCTCATTAGGTTACCAGAAATTACAGATGTGAAGATACTTCTGTTAACCAAAATCAAGAAAAGAAACTACTTTAGATACGCACACATTTTCGGTGTGGCATCTCTAATTCCTTTTATGCTACTGTATTTCAAATTACTCAGACTGACAAATTTGTAGTTTAAGGATTGAATAAAGAAAATCTGCATGTCGACAACACAGGTAACTTTAAATTGGTTTTGACACTGCATCACTTGCTACCTACAGAGCTAGACAGAAGTCAGAGCCTGGCTGATAGGGACGGCTTCAGGTTTTGTAAACACCCCTATGGTGAAATGGTTTTTCCAAAATTATGATACCATCTAGAGTGTTCATGGAGCCTTCCCATGTGCCTCACTGTGAATAAAAAACTTCTGTGGAAAATTTTATAGCGTTTGCATCCACTTCACATTTTCCCATGTTACATTCTGTGTTTTTCTTAATAATCCTGGTGAAAGAAAATATTTAAGCAATTAAGACACATTAAACACTTCTATGATGACCTTCCAAAAACAACGCCACTCTTCCACAGTACTGTAAAAGGTACACTTGGAAACTGGCACATTCAGGCAGGCCAAACAGATGCGAACATTTTAAACCAACACACTTGCTCTAAGAAATAAAACCACCAGATATTTTTTACATTATCAATTGGTCCCCCAGAAAGGGTAATTATAAAACACAAGAATGAGTCTCTCTCAAACCCTGTTAAATAAACCGTTTGCAAAGAATAACCACAACCGCATGAATGACGCCAGCCTGGCCCGTCACCGTTACTCACGCATAAAACCCAGGGATGTGTCTTGCAGCAAGTTTTCACAATACAAACTCTATTCTTGATGACCTTAAAA